TGAAAATGAAACTGCAGTTTCTTACTAAAAAACAGACTCTTCAAAAAAGGCCGAAGCCACCATGGCATTAGCTATCGCTGAACACTGTTCCATGCTGGCATGTGATTATATTGGAGAGGCATGTAGAGCTGCTTTCTCAGACTCCACTGCTGCCACCCATTTCAAAATGCACAGGACAAAGTGCACAGAAATGATTAATGGTGTTCTAGCACCATACTTTCTGAAAAAGTTGGTTGCAGATGTGGGTGATCAGCGTTTCAGCCTCCTCCTTGATGAGTCCACAGATATAAGTGTTTCTAAGTATCTGGGGGTCGTCATAAGGTACTTTAGTGACACCAAGCAGACAATTGTGTCCACTTTTCTAGGGCTTGTTGAGTTGGAGGGAGGAGATGCCAGACCTATAGCTCGTGTTGTTGTGGGTTTCCTTGAGAAGTGTTGTCTTACAAAAGACAAACTCTTGGGGATAGGAACCGACAATGCATCTGTGATGACAGGGATTAACAATGGGGTCCATAAAGTGCTGAAGGAGGAGTATGGCCTCAAAGATCTTGTTCTTATTCGCTGTGTATGCCACTCTCTGCAGCTTGTTGTAAGTCATGCTTTCAATGGCACCATACCCCGTAGTGTGGAGTACTTGGTACAAGAGACTTATAAACGGCTTTCAGTGTCTCCAAAGCGCAGGGAGGCCTACAAGGCCATTTATGAGACTATCAACTGTGGGGAGAAACCTTTACAGATAACCAAGGTGTGTGCCACACGTTGGCTCTCCATTGAACCTGTGGTTTCACGCATTTTGGACCAGTGGGATGAGCTTAGGCTGCATTTTGCAGTCATCAAGTCCAGTGAACACTGCTACATGGCTGAAGTTTTATACTCCATGTACAATGACCCTCAAAATATCTAGTACATGACTTTTCTGAAGTCAGCGCTGGGAGAGGTACAGACCACCTTCAAGGCTTTTGAAGGAGAACATGTAGATCCTCTTCAACTACTTTACAGCTTGGTTAGCCTGATCAAGTCTGTGAGCAGCAGGGTGCTGAATCCACTGGCAAATGTTGATGTACTCAAAGAGCCAATAGAGGGATACATCAGTTCCAAACCATACCTTGGTTACCTTTTTGAGTCGAAAGCAGCTGAGTTGCACCTTGCGCCTGAGGATGAAAAAAATGTCAGAAAGCGGTGTGTAGCCTTTACCATATCCCTTACTAATGAGTTGAGGGTGAGACTGCCGAACAATATTGTCAGTTTTCAATGTGGAAGAAACTCTAAAGCACAACAAGAGCCCTGGAGAAATGGAAAAAAATTGCTAATCTCCTTGGCTTCTCCCTTGAAGCAATAGATAAGATTGCCCACCAGTGGCATACCATCCATCTTAGTAAAACACAATGGACTTCTGGGGTGAGATTTGGAAGTACAGGGATGCAGCTGATATCAACCCATTTCAAAAACTTGCAATGGCTGCTGTGTCTGTGTTGTCCTTGCCACACTCAAATGCTGAAGTTGAGCGAGTATTCAGCCAGATGAGTGTGGTAAAAAGCAAACTTAGAAATCGGATGTTCTTGCAGAGCCTTTTCCATCCTGTACATCCGATATGGACTGAAGCTGTCTGGTGAGGCTTGCTATGAGCACCAGCTGCCTGACAATGTTTTGCAGCTTTTTGGCACATCAGCTGCGTACTCATTTAAGTCAAATGCTACAGTTGCTGAACTGTAGAGAATCTTGACAAAAATGAAGATGACCCACTCTTTCTGAGGCCAGCACAGCCTGGATGTCTGAAAAAAAAAACAAAAAACCAATCAGCCTGAATTAGGACCAGACCATCATTTTTTCGCATTGCCACTGTTTATTTCTACTGTCTGTTTTTGGTCCATTTAGATTGGTAATGTAGTTTGTTAACAACATTATGGTTAAAATTTTCTTATTTTACCCTTAGTCTTGTGTGGTTTAAAACTACTTAAAAAAGGAAGAAAAAAAAAAGTAACTCTGCCAGAGTGCCTATTTGTGGTCACTTTTGCCGGTCCCAAGCCCGGATAAAGGAGGAGGGTGGGATGATATGATATTAAAACAATAATTGCTAAAGAAATGTAACTTGTAGTTGTAAATATAAATTCCCAAATGCATTTAGGATGTTTTTTACTCACTTATTTCTCTCTCCTACAGCGTAGTTTACAAGCATGACCAATTATGCAAATAAGGTGATGACATCATCTAGCGAATTCTAGCGACTTTTAGGACAGCCAATAGCGATTTTCCTTACTGAGGAGTTGGCAACACTGATCTGAGAAAGCAAGACCGAGACAGTGAGACCAAGACAAGACCAAGACCACGTAAAAGTGGTCTCGAGACCAAGACCGGTCTCGAGACATCCAACTCTACCTTGTGCTTGACCATTTTCATAGGAATGTTTTTGCTAAGCCATTGAACGTTGACCTATGAACCATTCAAACATAAAGAAGGCACAAAAAGCAGTCTGTCACAAAAACACATTGTTTGTTGTCTTTTCTTTAGTCGTATCTACGAACAGTGCTAAAGGTAACGCAGCCTGACAGCAATAGAAGAGCATCTTTCTCCGACATGTTGATCCGCAAAGAGCCATTGGCTGAAAACCTGGCATTTCTCAGTTTGCTGTGCAGTGTGTCCTTAAAAAAGTTGTCCTTCCAAACCAGTGGAGAACAAAGGAAGAAGCAGCAGGCCTAATAATCTATCTACAGCAGGTGGACAGCATGAGAAAATCACATCTTAAGAAACAGACACACCATGCACTGCCACATGGAAAGCATCTAACTGTGAAGATTGGGACGGTGGTCCAAACACACTGTCAATGGTGCATTCGCTTCTGATTCAAAGACTGGGGATTGTCCACATTGAAGACGCCCAATCAGAGAGAAAATCAGCTTCCTCATGGTGGAACATCGGCCTTTATGTTTTGCTTTTGTCAACCTGTGTTAACCTTGTGCTCCCTGTGCCTGCAGTCATCCATGCCCACATCATGTCTATATTGAGTCCATCCTTTAATGACCAGGTGTGGACATTTATACGCCATCCAACCATTACCCAACCTGGACGCCAACATGACATTCAACATTTGGACTTCGAACTGGGTAATTTTTTGGACGTTAATTGGACGTCTATGAAAGGTGCAGGAAATTTAAATGATTAATAAGTAATTATTTTTTTTTACAAATATCAGTATGACACATGAGAATACAGATTATTTATAAACACACACGATGTGCTATGTGTTAGCCTATTGATTTTTTCAGTGTGTGTACCTGTTTTTATTTAACTTGTTTATTTAGAATCAGAATACTTTATTGATCCTCAGGGGAAATTATTTGTGGTTACAGTGATCCAATATAAACAAACAGTAACAGAGACAGACAATACACCATGTAAGAATAGCACAATAAATTTCAATTAATCACCTTATTTGTTTGTAACCAGGTTAAAAACGTGATTGATTTAAATGTATTGAAATACTAAAAACATTGAAACCATAAACTGTAAAATAATAATGTTTAAAATATTCAAACAAATTTTTAAATGCCTTTTAAAAGGAGTACAGTGTGTTTAACAAGTTTAAACGAGCATTTACATTATGTATGGTTCATTTTTACAAGTTTCCTGTTTTATTGTGAAATGCTTCTGAGAGGAAGTGACTGTGGTTGTGATCGGTGACTCTAAGTTTGTGCCAGTGTGTATGAACTGGACTATCTCCTCGACAGTCTTTGTGGATGTTCATGTTTTACAAACTGTCTGTGAGAAGCTGGAGACATTTCTGCTCCACATCCACTGAGCAGCTGCTCACTTTTTTCTTAGCCCAGGAGCCCACATACAGAGGTCCTAAGGACACCAACACAGACATTAAAAGAAAATGTTGACCGGTGTTACAAAATAAACCTTTAGTGGACCAAAATTGGAAGTCCAAAATGAACTTTTAAAAGATGTTACTCCGACGTGACTTTGCGCAGTGCGAGTGACATGTAAACATAACGATGTATCAATTGCAGAGCACTCATATGAGGTCCGATGTCACATACACACTCCTAACTAACAAAGCTCTATCAGACTGATTTAAGATTTATGTTATTACCGGGCATCAGCACGTCAAAATTTTCCAAACTACTGATGTTTTTTGCCTTTTTGGTGGCTCCATAATCTGCCTCCAATGGCCATGCACACTTGTGAAGTTCCTAAAATCACCTCCGATCTAGATCTTTGTCTTTTCAACAGCTCAAATCACATAATGAGGCAGTGACATCATTTCAAAGAAACAAGGCCTCATTTGTCTTTGGTCTATGGGTCTCTTTGGGCCTCAACACAGGCTTCATTTGGACATGCCCCCTGTGCTAAACACAGAAGATACATTTCATCATTACATTAATGCCACATGGAAAGCGATAGCTGGAGTTAATATAACATACTATGATGTATGTGGTTTGTACTTGTGAATCCAGGTAGTTGTGGTATTGCATGTGTTGGATGCACATTTGCTTTTACTGGCTTGGAACCAGCTGTAAAAATGCATCATGTTGACTTTGCTCTTAACTGGTCTTATCATTAAGAGGAGCTGTTTGCATTAGCTAATGTGAAAGCTGTAACAGTGACAGACTTGGTTAAATGAAGGTTTATTTGTCTTCATGAACAAACATGATCAGATTATAGAGCTCATATGGAGTCATGACACAAACATGGTTTTACCTGCTTTTAGTGACAGGCTTTGTAATTCAAGCTGAGGATACAATGGTGCGATACAAAGATTTACAGCACATGAAGCAGAAACATTAAAACCATCACCTTATCTGAACTAAATCAAAACAAATATCCTGCTACAGTTTAATAATGAACCAATCCAGCAACAATGAAGGAAGAAACCAAGATGTTCCTGACTCTGGTAAAGGAGAGGACATGAAACACAGACTGCTCTCTGCAAATGTCTAAGCTGCAGGTAAAAATCTGTTGGTCATTTTTCTCCCATTTCAAACCCAGAGACTGTAAACACTGAGCAGAAACACAGAGTTCACCCCAGAAAATCTACATGTGCAGCTAAGAAGTGACTTTAGGTTTAAACTTTAGTGTTTTATACAAATAAAATTAAATCTCTCATTTATCCTCTGTCTGACCCACTGCCCTCCTGTGGTCATGGCTGCAGACATGTCACAGTCTTCAGTCTTTCCCCCTGAAGCCCACCTCTCATAGCACACTAGGTTGTCATTGACCCAGAACCATAAATCCAGAGTGCAGGAGTACTGCAGTCCCAGCCACACGAAAGGAGTCGAGGCGTTTTTGGCTCTTTCCTGGACCCATCGCTGCTCCTCAGGGTTGCTGATTGAAACCAGGTCATGATGTGTCTGTCTGCAGTAAGTCAAGGCTTCCTCCCAGGTTTTGTTTTGGCTGATCAGGATCAATTTATCTGCCACAAAATCAGAGACAACATCAGTCAGTTAAATCTGGAGTTAAAATATCGGGATGTTTGGTCCAGTTTCACTAGAAGAACAAGAAAACATTTCAGTGATTCTTCAGATGAATCAGTCGCTCTACAGAGAAATCTCTGTTCCAACCATCATAAACATCTTCACCTCTGACACAAGTTAAACATACATGCAGAAATAAGTGGCTGAAGAAACACACTGACCTAAATCCTCTCAGAGAGTCCAGCAGTTCATCTGTTGGACAAACAGCTGAGATAAATCTGTGTAAACTCACCATCATAGCAGAAGAAAGGCTTTCTTTGGTCACATCCAGCAGAGCTCCATCTTCCTGATCTCTCTAACAGAGTCGTAGCACATTTCCTGTTGTTTAGTCCATCATTAAATGAGTCCATGTCCCAGTATCTGAAAGAGAAGTTACTCCCATCTGACCACCTCCAGCTGTCTCTGAACAGGCCGATCCACAAGTTCACCTTAGGGGCTTTAGAGTTCTGCAGCGTCTTAAACTCTTCACTGTATATCTGATCGAGTCCACTGGCCAGGTCAGTGTGATGCTGTCTGCAGTAGCTCTGAGCCTGAGTCCAGGTCACAGACTTATCATTCAAATGAAAGGTTTTATTGTCTTTCATTGTTTCTGTCGAGTCAACAGAAAAACACAAAAACATCTTTATCAGCTAATTTGTCTCATTCTTAAAACTGCCTCTTTCAGGAACATGTGATATAACTCAGATTATAAACTACATTATAACATTATTAAATATTATTTCATCATATTACTGTTCACACATTCTCACCGTCATAGCAGATGAACTGATGCATGTTAGTACATGGAACATCTACCCACTTGTCTCTTGTCCTCACACAGTTTTCAGGGTATTTTAGGTCATTTGGCTCTCCAGCTGCCCAACAGCTCTTATTTTCAGTGTATTCCTCCCCCGGCAGAGACCAGTGCCACGTCCTGTTGTCTCCTATTGTGATGTTGTACAGTCCAATCCAGGCTTGTGTTTGATTCTGTGCAGAGTCTTGAAGTCTTCTCATGTCTGTCAGGTCAAACACTTGGGCCAGGTCTGTGTAGTTCTCTCTGCAGTATGCCCGTGCTTCATCCCAGCTCATCTCTTCTTTAATAAAGTGGTACTCATACAGCTGACATGTGATGAGGACACACTGACCTGAAACAGAAGAAATACTGTTGAATATCTGCTGATACAAGCAGGAAACTCATGTTCCCATCAAACTGTCCAGTTTACAGGTCAATCCTTGATTGTCTCAGTAAGAGTTCATTTGTTTAATGAGTCCTGATCAAACTAAAGGATTTCAGGTGGAAACAATCAGGAGTCCTGGTAAAATGATCACTCACCCATCAGAAGAAGCAGAAACAGACTCCACTGCATCGTCGCTCTGTCACATGAAAATGACTTTTCTGTCATTTGGAGGAAACAATGAATCCAGCAGCTCTTCAGTGTTTGATGGACACGCAGCACTTTATATTAAACACAGATATCTAGTTTGTCACACACTGCTGTAAGAAATATATGATTGTTCTTAATAAATGATCATCTGTTTAAAATTGTCCAAGAAGAAAAAAGCAACAGTTCAAATGTGGTCCACACAGCACCTCTGTACACAGACATGAAATGAGCCTGCAGGTTTGAAACTTACATCTGGTTTTTCTCTGGTGTTCATGCAGACAGCTGTGCAGTAAATAACCATCTGTACTAACACACTCTCTCTTTGTACTCAGCATTTGAATTTTAAGATACAGACTTCCCCACTGACACAAAGACACAGTGTAGATATGAGTTATGAAAGGACTTGTTTACATTAAGCTCTGGAAAAATAACAGGAACTGTCTCACTGTGGACTGTCCCTCAAGATAAATGAGGAAGTGTGATAATAATATGTAAATATAACTTCCTACTGTTTGTGGTGCAGGTGAGAGACAGTCTATGACTCTCTTTTATATCTCAGGTTTTAAACACCAGTTTCTCCAGTAAATTCTGAAGGAATATGTAAATTATCAACCTTTTCCTTCTTACTTTATGTTACTGGGTGTACTGGTTAGTTGGGAAATCTATATTGCAGACAGATATGAATGTGAACATGAATGGTTGTCTCTGTCTATGTGTTGGCGCTGCTAACAGAGTCTGGTGACATGTCCAGGGTGTGCCAAACGATCACCCTGAGTCGTGAACAATGGATATCACTGGGGTGCTGGGTTTTCTCCTTTTTAGTGCACAGCCAGGTTATTAATGCAGCGGCGTTTAGTTGTTGTTTGTTTGTGGGCCTTTCTGTCTGAAGATAAATGGGAGAAAGGATTCGTAACTCATCCAAGTGACTTCTTCAGTCTGGGCTGACTGCTGGTTTCCCCAAACTTATAAACAGTGCACTTGTACAATGACTGAAACTAGCACCACTAAAGGAACAGTGGGCTGTGAGGTCAGGCTTTAGAGATGTCAGGATTTCACTTTTTTATGTCCGATACTGATATCATAAATTTGGATATCTGCTGATATAGTCTATAGTCTATTTTGATAATCAATAAAACTGTTTTTAAAAATATTTTTGTTGCATTTTGTGTAAGTTCGTACTCTTGTTTTAAAAAAACAAAACACTAAAGCTATTCTGTTAAACCTGTATGCAAAAATGACAGTGCACCCAAATATTTCATAGTTCAGCAAAACTGATCAGTCTAATAAACTTAAACCTACACCATCCTCCCTATTCTGGTATTTTAAACAGTACTTAGCAGAAATATTAAACAACCCAACTGATAGGGCTGCCAACTCCCTGCAAAAATATTAGGGATTAGTGATGGTTTATCACACAAAATCCCCCATAACACATTTAAGGTTGCCGTGGTAACATGATAAGCATGGAAAAGTAAACAGGCCATAAAGAGTTTTTCAGGTAAGACTTTAGCTTGTTTGTAATGTCCTCCTTCTTGCATAGTTACGTTTGTTGCTGCTGTCCCTTTAAATATTATTCTGGACTTCCTGTACAGCTCAGCATTGCATGTTGAAAAGCATTTGTAATCCTTTATTTAGGATTTTTGCGATGCTGCCGCAGAATTGTCATTTCATACGCCGGCCATGTCTGCCCCGTCTATAACAACTGAAAGTTAAATAAAATAAATAAATAATAACATCAAAGGTCGATCAAATGGACCAGTATGGCAAGGCTGTGATGATCCACTTGGTAAAGTAAACGTGTTGATTATCTTTGTTGGCCTTCAGACAACAATTCTGATGGTTAAAGAATCAAACGGGTCAGGCAAAGAAAAAAAAAAGAAAATTGTCATTTTATCCCATCTGTTTAGGTCACAAACAGTATTTTAAAACATTTCTGTATCAAATTTAATGTTTCAAACATCGCCCACATAAGTGATTGTTTTATGATCATTTAATTCAGTTTGTGAGCGATGCTTAGTTCATTTTCCTTAACAGCCAAAATCCTTTTAAAAAAGCCCTAAAGAAGGAAGAAAAACTCTGAATGCACTCTACTCATCACCCTGCTGTTCCCACAATTCCAAATAATGTGAAGGCTTTTAAACTGTTTTAATACGCAGCAGTTTCTAACTATGACCAGAGACATCTGATGATTTGTATATTTGATTTGTTGTACACTTCAGACCACTTCACAGTCTCACCGTATGAATCAGTGAGACTGTTTAGACTCGGTGTCCGAGTCAGTCAAAGTGTTCCTGTTTGCACTGCAAAAAGTTTCCATTTTATGTGAACAAAGTTCATGTAATTCATGCATTTATGTAATGAATGGAAGGTGAGCGTGAGAAGTTTGTGAGTTGTGCAGATTTGACTGTTCCTGCTTTCAGCACCTCAATAATTTGTTTGTGATGCAAAATGAACCAATAGCATCTCTGTGCTGCTTTGAGGAAACAAACATTAGATATGATCAGCTTCTGTTCCAGCAGAGAGGACCACGCACTGAAAGCCAGCTCGTTTTAATGGTTGGTTTTTCTTATTTTAATGACTACATGGTAAATGGCCTGCATTTGCTTTTCTAGTCCATCTAGTCCAAAGCGCTTTACATATCCAGTCATCCACCCATTCACACACACATTCACACACGATAGCAAGCTACATTGTAGCCACAGCTGCCCTGGGGCGCACTGACAGAGGCGAGGCTGCCGGACACGGGCGCCACCTCTGACCACCACCAGTAGGCAAACATGGGGTTAGTATCTTGCCCAAGGATATTTGGCATGCAGCCAGGAGGCAGCCTGGGATCGAACCACCGACCTTCTGATTAGTGGCTGACCTGCTCTGCCACCTGAGCTACAGCCACCCACATCAGAGCACAAACATGTTTCATAGCAGCCTGAAATAAATAAACAGGAAAAAGTTTACTTATTTCTAATTTCTATAACTGAACTTCTGAGTTATTTAAATGCAGACAGTCGATTTAGGAAATTAATAACATGTAGCTGACATTTCATATCAAAATAGCTACTGTGAAATAGGTCTGATTTGAAAACACTCATTGAGTTAACAGTTACTATCATAGTCCGTTTGAGCTTCTGGTAGTTTTCCTGGGCGGAGCTGTCATCTCCTCACCTGGAGTTAATCTACTGAGCATATTTAACCCTTTAAGACCTACCATAGAACCAAGTCCGCCAGAGCTTATCTTTATATTTCTACATGCTGTAGTGCCATTTTGGGGAGTATTTCAAGTTGCTATACATCAATACAACCATTATTTCACAAACTTTAATAATATGTATGCATTAAGTCCATAGTAAATACATAAACAGCAAAAAAAAAGTGCAATAAACTATTAAAAAATTGAAATTGTTTTTTTGTTTTTGTTTTTTTACATATATTTCTAATTAGAGAAAATTGAGAGGGTTATCGATACCTCAAAACTGTAAATGCAAAAAAGTTGCACAAAATAGTTTCCAACCATAGGTAATGTATTTTGAGCCTGTTGGCCAACAGATGGAGATCTTTGATTTTAATGAGCTGCTTCTTCCCCTCGTCATTGCAGAGGCACTCTTTCAGCCATGCGTAGCCCTGCACGCACACATGTATTGATCAGCAGGGTAACAGATGGACTCATTGTGCTGCTCTGAGCTCAGATTGATGGTGTTTGTGCTGCTTGTACCTTCATGGCGGCTCTGGAGTTCTCAGGGACACCCTTGTTGTATTTGCCCGTCAGTAGGTCACAAGCTAAGGGGGACCAGGTCATGGCTCCATCACCTGATGGATACACAGACCTCATGTTGTCCCCAAGTTTTAAAACTTGAACTAAATCTTTTGTCCTACTTGGAACTGTCCATGGTAAGTAAACCAAGCTAAGTGAGGTGGTCGTTGAAACTGCTGGCCCAGATGGTCTCACCCACCACACCCCCACCATTCTCATGGTCTACATGGGAAGGGAATGATGGGACAAGCACAATCACAGCGGGATCGGCTGCAACTGAGGCGGATGAGAAGCTGGGGTCATTGCCAGTTGCAGTGGAGGACAGACTGTGCAGACCCAGATCACAGTCTGCTGGGTCATCCTAAAGCTGGTGGTGGAAACTCCGTAGATGAGCAGTGATGGGCTTGATCAAGAACCCAGGTATTGTCCAGGGGCTGGCGGCAGTGAAAATGCTTTAGCTGGTCATGCTGGGCAACTTTCACTTTAGACCTTGGGTTCATCTGGATCCGATAAACTAGGTCATCAAATTGTCCCAGGACAAAGAATGGTCCTTCATACAGTGGGAGGAACTTTTTTACCTTGTTCCTTTGATGAGATAACACACTATCTCCAATCTTGTACTGTGTCTGGAAACAGTTATTGTCATATTGTCTCTTTGCACAAGTGAATGACTCACGCAGGGCTTCCCTGGTGATGAGGTGGGCTATCTCCAGCCACTCACGCATCTGCTACACATACTCTGGAGCTGAGGGTTGGTTGTCTGGATCGTGGGGTAAACCTGCGACCGCTGGCTTGCTCAATTCTAAGCCAAACATCATGAAGTTTGGGGTGGAGCCTGTATTACTTTGCTTGGTCGCCCTGTAGGCCATAACGGCATACAGGATCATCAGGTCCCAATCCCAATGGCATAATGTGGAGGCCATTATGTTTTGGAGAGTGGCATTGAAACATTGCTGGCCATCTGTAAGGAAGAGGACTCCCTTGCTAGGATTATTTATATTATCTGTATAGCACTTTACAGCACCCCTTTTACTTTATTAAAAGCACCTTATGAA